CAATGTGGCGGTTGTTGCAGTTCGATCCGGAGGGCTTTGGCGAGATCCCGTGGCCCGACTTCCTGCAGACGCTACAAAACCCAGATTTTATTTCTCAGGTGCCACCTCACAAACATGAGGTAAACATAACTTTACACTGTTATAAACTTAGCATTATTTTTATTAAATACATTTAAATGGCCTTTAACCATAGCTAAAATTAATTATAATTCTCCAAAAAGGCGGAACATGTTGCTCTCTGGAATCTAATAAGATATCAAAAATCATATTGGATGAACATTGACCACATCAAAAGACCAATCAAAAATAACTAGTATTATAAAACATTAGCATTCTTTAAGGTACTAAATAAATAAAAGCAATTCATTCTTTGACATATCCTAATAAGTTGAAGATTTTGGTAAATCTGATCGTTGCTAGCTATAAATTGATTCAAGGTTAAAGACTAAGTTCAATTATACTTTCATGACGCTCTACAACAATAAAAAAAAACATCTAAAATATGTTTATGTATCCCTCAGATACTGTTGGACAAAGCTCGCAGCGCTACATCCGATGCGATCACATTTCAGGAGTTCGTTAACGTGGTAAGTACGTCAAATATTTATTACACCACTCAATGCCGCAGCGCCGGGTATTTTTCCAGACGAATAGGATCATTAGTCTAATGGCGGCATTCTTAAACGTCCCCGTAGGTTGCATATAGTTTAATATAAACCCCATGGCGGCCGCCGTCCCCCGATACAAGACAACTAAATTAAGATGCGACACCGATTACGCCGGTCTCGCGCGTTCCCTCTTCACGAGTCACTAAACACGATTCGAGACGGACAAAAGTTCAGCCCTTTTAGGACTTTGTGAATCCAAACGCAAACGAAAAAGTTAAGAGCGATAAAACTGTATGGTCGAAAAGGACCCACATCCTTATCGGATTCTTACTGTCCTGCCTCGGGATACGATAAGGACCGCCACGATTTATTAGGTGGACATTTATTTTTGTATAGTAAAATATATTATCTTAAATGCGTATTAACACTGAGCACCGTCATTTGTTTTATTTTAATCGTTTCACACCGCTTTATTTTAAAGATCTTATAAATTTCTTATCTATTTTAATTTTAAAAAATACATTTAATTTAAGACACACACAGATTATAATATACAACATACTTTTAAGATAAGGTTTTTGTATTAAAAGAAAATGTATCTACGTTTTGTTTTACATATAATATAATTGTAATTAATACTTGAATATATAATACACCTCATTATATAAAAATCGCTAAGAAATCAACATATAAAAATGCATGAAGCAAATCAAAACCGTTTACTCTGGTTATCACTTTGCATTAACTGTTGATTTCACAGCTAATATTTTAAATATAAACGTAAACAAATTTAAAGCGAAGCATTATTTTTTAAGTGGCGTTTTAAAATAATTAGGCGACGAGATTACCCCTTATACATCACCTTAACGTCAAAAGACCCCTCACCTTCAATTAATTACCGCTGAGAAGGTACACTTTTGGCAACATTAACATAAAAGATACTTAAGAAGCCCTCGATTATGTCAACTCAACGTGGGCAGTGAATTATAGCACGCTCGTCGTCCCTCTTTAATAATTAAGTTATTACTTAAAAGGGTTAAGTTATAATAAGTTATACGACCGAATATTACGTCCTTATGGTACTTAAAATTTTATTTGTTTGCAAATTAAGTGGCTTTTAACGTTTCTTTGCAGATTTATAAGTCCTAATAAAATGTCGCACCAGTCAGTAATTGAATTTTAAAAGTGATTAGGGATGCGTTTTTTATTTATATATGTCAAAGTGTTTTATTATAAAAATCATTACATAACTAAGTAGAGAAATTATATATTATAGTTAGGTTCAACAATCGAAAAGTAACATTGTTTGTGTAATTTGATACGTCAAAAAGTTTTTAGTAATCCAGACAACTTAGTTCCGAAAGTGTATTGTCATACGAAACGGAATAAAGATGTCCAAGTTATTTTTATAAATGACTCGCGCGCACATAAAAATCTAAGTGCTTACATAAATTAAATATAAAAATTTAGGACCCCACATCGGATTTCGTTTTGCCGTTAAATTTTGGCGGTATTGGATATCAAACATGAAAAGTAAAGTCATAAGTGTCGACTGCGTTAGCATTATCCTCATACATTCGCGTACGATTGTATAGACAGACGTAAATCAAAATTAAATTCGAGACATAAAGAGACGACAAGGGACAGTGCGGGCTCGTGGGCGTTCGTGATGCTGCATTCTTATGCTAATCCAGGCGAACCACATTCGAACGGGGTGGGCCAAATTGTTATTTATATTGTCACCTCTTATTTTTTTTACTCGACCTCAACAAAAACCTGGCTAAATTACTTACTTGAAAACCTACGTAATATCAACCTCCAGTAGGTTGTTTTGTTAGAAATTCTTTGTCGACTTTTTGCATATTCGTATGGTATTGTTTGGAGATCATTGAACTTTTCATGTTGTTCGCCAAATATATTCGCATGTGTGTGAAATAATAAATATCATCAGCCAGTATTAGGTGAGTCAAATAAATAATTTATAGTAGTTATTTGTTTTTTTTTGTCTCCGAAAATACTCGAATAGGAAAACTCGATCGACTTTCTCAAGTTTATAATCAAGGTTAAAAGCCTTTGTTTTTACCGTTTGCCACATATCATTCATGTTATATGTTTGAACTTCTTATACATATACGAATAAAAAAATTACTGGTAGTAGTATTTGATAAAATGCATTTAAGTTCTCGCCCTAAACCTCTTTTTGCATAAAAATATCATTTATTAAAATTCAAGTTGAGTTTAATAATAGAAATGCGTCCCTGCAATTGCAAATATAAATGATTGATGACGAGTTCTCGACTTAAGCTGTCGCTTTTAGGGAAATGGCACTCACTTGGGCAGGAAGGCAATTTCCTGGGAGGAAATTAGTTCACTCCATTACGTCGCTGTTGCCGCCAAATGGCCAAAGATTGGCCGTTTTATACGCTTTTGTTTAATGCCGTAATAGTCCTAGAATATTATAATTGCGTTCTGGCGGCACAGCCAAGAATGGCTATTCTGCATTTTTTTTACATTAAGTCCAACTATATAAAGTCCTATATTATACTAAATATTTGAATAATTTGTTTGTATAAATTGACCTGTAGTGAACATCAATAAATCATAATAGACTAACAGAGTCGAACCTAAAACCTTCCAGTCATCAGACGGGTAGAGCATACGAGTGTTGCCACGCATTGCCTGAGTTACCTGTTGTAAGGCACAAAAAACTTTTGAGCGTCGCCGAAGACCCTTAATCAATTTATGGTGCGCTAACTGGAACACGGAAAATGTATTAAAGCCTGGTGTGGGAACGTTCACGCGACCATCAAACCCTTACGACACCTCTCTGTCTTAGATGATGTTTGTTTACATTATTATCTTAAACATTACTTCATTACATATTACTTTTAATCTTTATATGTATTTGCAACTAATTTGTTTCTTTATAACGATAGTGCTTTTAAGAAAATTAAGGTTTTTTCTTGATCACTATGTGCATAGAGTTTAATGTCAGATGAGGATTCGTAAAAAAAAATTGCCTAGGATAATCTACGCCAAAATCATTAATATGGCGCTAGATTATATCTATGTAGATTGTATAAGATTAAAAAAAACTTGTATTCTTCAAAGATGGAGATCTAATGTTACACTGATGCGATACACAATCGTTAATCGCACACTGTTAATAAAATTTAATTAAATAAAATGTTGAAAACAAAAGACAATGGCCAGTAAATAAAAAAGGCGGCACCGACTACGTCCATCGCACAGTTCGACACAATGAGAGCTTCACAGAGCGTCTCGAATCCGCACCGAAAACAAAAACAATTACTTAATAAAACACACCTCAATCAAAATTAATTGCTTTACGCATTAATCTCTTTATCTTTCCTCACCTACAAAACAACGTGTCCATTCTCTAAGGTAATGGAAGCAATCATTCCAGATAAGATACCTCTAATGTGAGAAAAGGTAGACGCCGGGGCCGGGTCGTTAATTTAATTTGAAATAATAAAAGTTATATGCATCATTTATCACTTTCGACAAATTTATTTTTAAATGCCCACTTCGAAATCCTTATCTGTGACTGACCAGCGGGGTAGGGGATGGAGGCAAAAAAAAAAGTTACGTTATAAATATACGTAGGCGAGCTGGCGAAGCGTCAAGTACTCCATAATTGCTGTCGGAACGTCCGCTTGGAACTTCAATGAGTTTCATAAGTACCTCACCATCAGAACACACTCCCTAGTCCCTACAATTATACCCCAATGGCTTCCGTACAGATCTCTTACCAATTGTTTCACACTTGGTAAGAGACTTGTTCACTTGTAGCACTCTTGAAAATAATACGACACCTTACAGTGAAATGGAAATATTGATTACATTTTCAGTTAAATTAATGAGTAACCTTCCTTCAGTTTTCAAACTTAACCCTATCGACTCGTCAGGGTATAAAAAAGTAAAAATGATGTGTCCGTAACATCCAATTTGAAGTACGTAATTCGTTAGCGGATCCTGTCGCGGGGTGCATTCCACCGCCGAGTAGGTTTTCGTGTTCGGTCGGACTGTCCGTCCGTAACTCACGTGCTATCGGCACCATCTAAATTGAGATTTTATTGACGATTACTGTTCTAGCGACGATATCGTTGCGATCTTGGCGCCCGCCGAACCTTCTTCACGTCTACACACCCTCCATGTTTTGGGCGTCAAAAAAAGTACAACTGGACCGTACTCCTTAAAATTTGAAGTCCAGATTTTTTTATTTTAATGTACACAATGATGTATATTGCTAGATATGGACAAATATATATGAGTAGGTGTTAACGACATTTTGTTATTCGATTTATTGTTTAATCACGATATTAAAATAAGTTTACTCTGTAATTTGCCCTCCGTCTAATTTCACTCTTTACTCCAATACACGTTGAATGTTATCATAAAGATTACCTTTCATTTAGTGACCAATTAAATCAGTAATTTAATTATTTGTTAGTTTGATCAAAACACTAAAGCACGAAAAACATCTGGACACGTTTAATCCTTTAAAATCGCTACAGTATTATCATTGTTTTTAGTGTTGTGATGTTTATTAGGGCCTTTTTATGCAATTCGATATTTATATCGTTCCGTGTCATGTTTTACAAGTCAGCAAGACTTTTTAGGTTTTAAAAATTGCATTATCAAATCGATAAAAATTTCAATAAAGCATTTTATTAGTTGTCAATACGCGAACGCTATCTTATTATCACCCATTGTTTCTCAGAGTACAATGGTTAGTATTTAAGTCGTCCCGATTTTCGCCTTTCTTCAATCAAAGTTGACCTTCACAATAAACATTATAACACAAAGTTAAATAAAATCGTTTATATCACTTCTAATGTTTTCGTACGATATAAAGCGATCAAAGATGGCGCCTCTGAACGAATCTTGTAAAAACTTCGCGCTTGCTCTCTGAGACCCGCAAGTTATAAAGCGATGTGAAGTTTAGTGTATTATTT